CAGTATTAGCATGGTTTCAAAGTTTCAAGCAATTTTAAGACAGTAAATGCAATTTTTGAGATGATTACAAGGCAAACAAAGTGTAATTAAAGGGCTGCGTTTGTTTGGTTGGCTGGCCCGCCTGTTTGTTTTGCTATTTGCTGACGGATGCTAAGCAGTGAGGAGGGCTCTCCGCCGCCCACCTCCTCTCAGACAAATTATCTCCACAAATGCGGAGGTGGCTCTGAGGCTGACAGATGAACGAGTGACGAAAGCATATTTGCAAAACATTCCTTCCATATTCCCCCCTTTTGATGCCCTTTAGAACACCGATGCGCATGCTACCATCAATGTTGTGTCAAGGAGGCACTGAGCAGAGCTTTGGCTAATGAGCTGTCTTCATTTGCATATGCTACATTACATAGACATTTGCTTCCTGTTACATCCTTTTAACCTCTTTAACTCGTAATTATGTTCTCCCTGCTTCACCCCCCCCAGACCTCAATATCCATTCATCAATTTCAGCTTCATCTTGCCCGATCGCTACGTCCCCTTCGCACTCCCTAATCCACACATCCCACCTTCCTCCTCCTCCTCTTCCTCTCTGAGCTTTGTTGTACATAAACGCTTGGTTCCCATCGCCCCGGCGACATTTCTGCCCCCCCCCCCGCCCCCACGCCCGTTGGCTTTTGCCAGCGTTTCTCTGTTAATTTGCCTGAGAATGCATTAGCTGTAATGAAGGCTGAGGGCCGAGGGAATCCTCCAGGGTTCCATTAATCATCGCCTCCCCCCCTCCCCAACCTCAGACAGGCAACCTTGATTACAAGTGGCAAGAAATTCATTAGAGCCGAGCCTCTGACAACTCTTATCTCCGCCGCTGGATCTGACTCATTAGGCAGCCAAATTAAAGCCATGATGGCCCTGATGAAACTCATCGCTTGTTTATCTTGTGCGATTTGATGCATCTGCCCATACATCACTGTACGGATGCCACGCACCCACCAACGCGCTCGCCCCCCCAACGGTATCCTTCCCGTCTCTCTCCAGGTGGAAATTTTTGTCCATCCTCCAAAAGTTCGACAATCTGGAGATCAACCAAAATGGGGAAGAACTGGCCTCAAAAGTCAAATGACGCGACTTCAGCCTGGGGAGCATCTCAAGATTTAACTCCTCACCTGGCTTTTGCGTTTGAACCACTGATATCAAAGAGGACAAATACAGTTAACCCCAGAACAGGAAATTGTATCTGGTTTCTCATGATTGTAATTTGAAAAATACAATTGAATATCAATTACTTATGCTAATTAACATAAATAACCCTGTAGCATGGTGCCCGCAAACACATTCCTGGTTCCTGTGTCAGGTGTGTTTAAAGAGTGTGCAGTTTTACTTTAGTTTTATGATACTGTTGTTAAATATTGCCTGTGCAGTTAATAATGGTTTTCGGATCAGTGTTGGCAGTCCAGTTATTAGCGCGTCGACCTCACAGTGCAGAGGTACCAGGTTCAATTCCAGCTCCGGCTTCCCAATGTGGAGTTTGCATGTTTTCCCCGGGCCTGCGTGGGTTTTCTCCAGGTACTCCGGTTTCCTCCCACGTTTCAAAAACATGCATGGCAGGATGATTGAACACTCAAAATTGCCCCTAGGTGTGAGTGTGAGCGCGGATGTTTGTTCGTCTGTGTGTGCCCTGCGATTGTCTGGCAACCGGTTCAGGGTGTCCCCCGCCTACTGCCCAAAGATGGCTGGGATAGGCTCCAGCATGCCCCGTGATCTTTGTGAGGATAAAGCAATTCAGAAAATGGATGGATGGATGGATCAGTGTTGGACAGGTTACTTCCTAAATGCATTATTCCTAACTCAACGTTTCCGCACACAGCAACACCATTCAAAATGCTTCGGGCAAATCCCTAGTAATTTCAGATGTTCTAGTAGGCTTTTTTTTTTCTGGCTGAAGCCTTAAGGATTTTGCGCTCACACTTTTATGTTGAACTGTTAATAATTCCTTCCACCTTGTCTAATGCTCCAGTTCCACCAGGAAAAATGCCATCCCCAAAACATGCTGTTGTTGTAGTGTAGCTATGGCAAGAATGGGCAACTGGTGCCCTGTGGCCTGCCTGCGGCCCGCTAGTTGCCACCCCCGACCCTAATTGTTTTCTACTTTAAAAAATGCTGATAAGTATTCAATCATTGACATGGTTTTTTTTCCAAAAGAAATGGGAGAAATGCAGAAACAAATCCCATAAAACTAGGAAAATCAAAAATATAAGAAAATATCGAAAAATGAAAAAAATATCCAAATCAAATGTGGGTGCTGAACTGTATGATGAAGCCCAGGAGACAGAAGAACCGTCATGACTGGAGCCCTCCCAGCACTGTTAACAAGTGACAAAATGTCCACCCCCTGGGATGGATAGGAACAGGTCAATTTTGTTGCTTATTTCATATTCAATCAGCGCAATATTAATCAGACTACTGTGTTTAGACTAGTGAAGACACATACAACATAACATGAATGGTCAACTGCCAGCGCATGTGACCCATGACCAAACTCTGTGTGACCCCACCCCTTGATTAATTAAAAAAAAAAAAAATGGTGGTCATTTATTCATTTATTTATGTATTTATTTTAAAAACCCTAAAAATATCCAAATGCGCTGGTAAATATTCAAAATACATTTTCCATGAAAGATGGAGGAAACATCGGGGGAAATCCCAGAACAAAACTAATGAAAAAAAATATGCAAATCCGTGCGTTCCGAACTGTGAATAAGCAGGGGTGGACTGAAGTTTTAAGTTGTAATATTACCAATCACCACTAGATGACAGATATGTCTTTGTTGCACTTGCATCAGATCTCTTAGTGTCCGATACTACTTGAATAGGCTTCATCATTTATATATTTATGTATTTATTTATTACGGATATGGAATTTACATGCAGGGTAAGTAAACATAGTACCTGAATAATATTAACGTACTGAGTTGATTTTTGTGAAAAAAATAATAAATAAATACTCAGTGAGTTTTTGCACTTAATGGTGGTTTGCTGTTCAGCAGTTTTGTACCATCCTTGAAAGTCCTTTTGATGCAACAGAGTTTTTTGCACTGGAAAAAAAATAATGTACAGTAGATGGTGATTTTGTTGTTTGCTTCAAAATCTTTGCTGCCGGGTGAAGAGAGTGGATCTGCTCTACGTGCATTGAAAATGTATCAAAAATGAAATTAAAACACGTATTTTGCACATATTTTGTCCAGATTTTAAAAACGGCCTTTTTTGTCACAGATTTATTTCGGAACTGTGTGTCATGGTCCTTTGCAGCCCCCCCACCCCAGTTGCACTGATGAAATATTATTGCCCCCTCCAACATTTAAGTTGCCCATCCCTAGAACACATTGTTGGAAAGAAAAATGTTTGACTTGACTTCCCTTGAAATAAAGGTTTTGTCATGCAGATAAATGAATCCATTTGACATGATTTCCATTCTGGCTTCACTGTTTTGGATTTAGACCAGTTTGGAAGTGAACCAGCATTGCACAGAGCGGCTTGTGTTCTACTTTGGTGGTCTTACTGTACGCAGGAAGAATTTCTGATGTTTCTGTTTGTAAGTGGAGTCGCTGTGTGACAAGCGGTCGTTCACTAAAGACTTGAATGGAGGAGAGCTTGTCACCATAACGGATTTATGTGTCCTTCACACATAATAGCGGCAAGCAAACTGGAGATCAACACGGTGACAACAATAATGAGGTTATAGCGGCATCACTCCCTGTCACCCGAAATAGCTGTGGCACAGTGTCGTGGAATTGAGCAGCCCAATTAATCAGATCCCTGGATGGAATCATCAAAACTTGTCTCCCCATCCTGGTGTTACAGTCTTTAAGGATGAGCTGGAGGGGAAACATCAAATGTTGACAAGGTCACTCAGTTGAAATTCCAAATCCAGGACAAATATTGAAGCGCTACAGTTGGCATTAGGTATGCAATTTGAAATGAAGACATATTTGACGATTCCTCAACAGGTGCTGCGGCAGTAACACGAGCAGGGCTGTGGAGTCCGCAGTCTATTTTGGAAAGAAAAGGTGAAATGATTCCAGCTTGATCTGGAGAGCCTTCAGAGAAAGCGCAAGGATGTGAGCTTTGCATAAAACACCAAAAGCCCGGCGCTTCCCTTTCCTGTCACTGGATGTGGTCAGATATTATTTGGGACATGTGCGCTTTTCATTGTTGCTTTATGTTTGACATGACTGATGGAAGCAGAACTATTTGGGAGAAACTTAGTGTGAGTATTATTATTACTTAGTGGTTTGTTTTATTTTTACCAACATGCTCTCTGTTTAATCATTTAAAAGTATAATACTGTAACATGATGCAAATTCCATTCCATTCTCAAGAAGAGACGGAATAGGGGAAATAGGTGTGTGTGTGTGTGTGTGTGTGTGTTATATATATATATATATACAAAACACACGCACATACACGAATACACACACGCAAGATGCAATATATTATTCTAACACGCCCCTCAGTCGACTATAAAACCAAAATGACCCTTGATGGTGGAATGTTGTTGGTTTTTTTTTGTTATATTAAACCAAAAGAAAAGCTGCTCCCCCATCAAATCATAATTGTTCTACACCATAACATTCTGTATTCAATTGTTTCAGATTGGGATGGCCTTTTTTGCACAATTGTGAATGAAGGAGAAGTTGATGTCAGTGCTGCATCAGTCCACATGTCAGTCCACTAAGTCTGCAGTCAATTCACTAATTTATTTATCTGAATTTCCCATGACAAGCAAACTAAATGCCAGCAGGTCGTTGACAGTGATATTTTTTTTTACACATGTAACTATTCTTTGACATGTCTATCTACAAAATCTAAAACGTTACATTTGTATGAGACGCATTTTTCTAAAATTATATTTTTTAAATGTCGAAAGTTTACACCGATTTTTCATTTAGGTTTTGACAAAATTACAAAATGTCAATTAAGTGTTCCAACCGAGTGAAAGATTCAAAGTTGAATGAGACTTTTATATAGAAACAGATTTATTAGATCACTCGACTTTACACTTGTCCCTTGTTTGGTCATTTTCGTTTCATGATCTATGCAATGTGGTTCTTCCGAAGCAAAAGCTTCTTACATGCAAACACATTGTATAAAACACCCCCCGCCCACCAATAAAACAAACAAAAATATGTTAAACAGACTCGCCACAAAATGAGAAAATCACATGCAACAAACAGAAAGTTTTGGCCTGACGTATAAATACGAAAAAAAAAAACAATACACATTCTGTTGATAGTGCCCCTTTGTACGGTTGTGTTATGTACATATTCACAAATCAATAAATAAAAGTGACAGAATATTTCCAGTCCTCACTCCAGTTTGTGCTTCACGCTGGAGTCTCTTTAAGTGTTTCTTTCGATTTTCTTTGCTTCTTTTTTTTCAGTGACGTCATTGCGTTCACGGCCGCGTCCCTTGTTCTATCTGCTGGTGCTGGCTCCTCACCGCGAACCTGTTGACGTGCACCGGGATGGGCACCACAATTTTGGGGTTCCTCACGGGCTCCCCCGAGCGGTTGTTGACGTTGCCGGCCTTGATGCGTTTCCACTTGGCTCGGCGGTTCTGGAACCAGATCTTCACCTGGACCTCGCTCAGCTTGAGCGCATGCGCGATCTGCGAGCGCTCGGTGAGCGAAAGGTACTTTTTGCAGTGGAACTCCTTCTCTAGTTCGAGCAGCTGCTCGCTGGTGAAAGCCGTTCGTCTCCGGCGGCTCTTGCCCGCCGAGGAGGCACCGGGCGGCAGCGCGTCGTGGGGCCCCAATTTGAGTTTGGCCTTCTGCGACAGTGGCCCGCAGGTGTTGCCGTCCGAGAAGCTCTCGTTCTCGCTGTCCGCGGAGCTGTCGTCACGATCGCTGCACGCGGCCTCTGCGGACTTCGGGTCCGCTTTCTCATCGTCTGAACTGTACAGCTTGGTCTCGCCTTTTAAAGACAAAAGAATAGTTAAACGATGCGGAGGGGGAACGTTTTTTTTTTTCCTTTGATGAGGACTAAAAGACGACCTTCAAACCGCTTCGTCAAAAACAGAGCCGATGTTGGTCAAAAACAGGACCGACACGCTTTTTGGGTCATTTTGACCAATCTTTGGATTGCTTTTTAAATATATTTTTTTTAAAAAAGGGGGAAAAATAAAGACAATTGAGTCAAATTTACCCAAGTTCCGAGTTCCGGTCCAATTTTGCCCAAAATTGCGTTAACAGGACAGTTTTAAGAGTGCATTTACGTGAATAAAAATAGAGGTCGATAAAATGTATTTTAATGAATAAAATGCACAAGCAAAACTCATCTTGTGATCGCCAGTCATTTCGCTGAGGAATCTGTCAGTCAACGTAAAAAAAACCCCAACTGTTGTCATGATGTCATGAACATTACTCAGAATGACTTTTACACACACGTGTTGTATTTATGCGCCGCTTTTCATAACTGAAACTGACCAATAGTGGTGAAGTAGTCCTTTTAAATTCGAACCCTGGCAGAACTGTTGAAGTGACCAGGCGAACGCGTTTTAATTTTTAATGTCACGTAAATGTAACGAAAATGCATTTCTGAAATTATAGCAGAACAAAACAACAATAGATGATTATTAAATGATCAGACGTTCGATCCTTTAAAAAATGACTCATATTTCAGCAGTTCCAAGTAAACTTCTCACAACAGTATTCAATAAGGGGACAAAGTTTACCTGATATCGTCTGGAAAGTTTCCGAAAAGTTAAGCAACTCGGAGCTTTTCTCCCGGCCGTGCAGCTCCTCCGAGTGCGGGCTCTCCTGCCTCCTCGCGCCGGGCTCGGCAGCGCTCAGACGCGGTCCCGGCAGCTCCTGGGGCGGGTAAAAGTTGTCCGGCGGGTCGGAGAAGTTGGGCATGGCGGTGGTGAGAGCCACCATGGACGGCACGCCTTGGCCCAAGCTGGCGCAGAAAGTGTTGGTGAGGCGGCCCGCGAAGGACGCCAACGGCGCCAGTGGAGGGATCCCGGAGGAGAGAGGCGAGTGGGACAAGGCCTGCGGGATGACCAGGGGTCTGTAGGGCATGAACATGGGGTAGCCCGTATAGAGCAGGTGTCCCGGTCTGGGCTGGGGGGTCCCGATGAGGGAATCGATGGAAAAGGCAGTCCCTTGCCCTCCTGGTCTCTGCATCTTTGCATGCAAACTCCCCTTTTGTCCCCTCCCCCGCCCCAAAATGTCAAACTTTTCGCAAGAAGATCCTGAGCCGCATCCCCGAAAGTGGAACTAGAACGACGTTTGCGCAGTCCGCTTGTGTTCTCCGCTTTGCGCCCGTCTTATTTGTCACATCAACACACGCTGCCTGGGCTCTAGGGCTCTTTGGCAACTCCTCCCTCTGTGATGTGAGCACGCAACGAGAGTGAGGGAGGGCGAGAGCGAGCGCATTGGTTATCATGTGCAAAGGTGGATGGCAGGTGCTACAGTCACCGTGGTCCCCGTCCCCGGGGGCTCATCCATCTTCCTCAAATTACGCTTCATTTCCTTATTCAGCCTCTGACTTTTTGGCCGTCCTGAGAGGCGGTCGTTTCCCAGTGGGGAGCCCCCGCAACCCCCCATCCAAGTCCTTCCCCTTCTATCACCGTCGACCACACCAATCCAATCAGCTATTATTAATTTTGATTGATGATTAGCAATTACTGTGGATTCAAAACAACCAAGCCTTTTGTGCCCCCCCCCCCTCTCCCCAATCGCTAAGCGTCTGGAAGGGAGGAGAGGCAGCTGTCCCCCCATCTCTCCACCTCCCAGCTCCCTCCCCGTCTCTCTTGGCCTCTTCTCCGGTGCCCCTCCAAACAATGTGTTTGGCCCCGGATAAAGAAGTGCTGCAACAATTGTTCCCTGGAGAGAGATACTTTGGGAAAATTAGATTCAGATAAAAGGCGTATATGTGCGAGGTCAACTGCAGCGTGGGTTTGCAACATGGCCAAAGTCACATTAGTTTTAAGTTTGGAGGTGGGGTGGGGGTTGATCGTGGGGGTCTGTATGTTTCCAAATGGACCAAATAAGCGCAATTTTTATTTGCTGTGCTGGGCCAAATTCAAAGCATCTTTGGTCTTGAGGCAATAATGTCAGCTCATGTCAGCTTGTAAATGGCCATGCACGCGAGCTGATCATGATGATGGCGATGATGATTAGCCCCATTGAGTCCCGGGTGGCCGAGCTCTCCAAGCGCTCGTCTGATTGCACGCATGCATGACAGCAACATCAGATCACAGCCCAGCCTGATTAACAGTGGAGGGCCCGGGCCAGCCTCTTGCTCATAATTTCACAGAGAACATGGCGGAGCCTGCGTGCTCTCATTTGGACTTGGATTAAAAAAATAGGGAGAGTACTTATTGGGTGCGTAAAACCTTTACATCGTTTATGCCTCATGGGTTGCCTATAGTTATAAAGAGATGTCTAACAAGACAAGAATTGTTTCGAGTACCCATTTATTTTAACAGAGCGTTATTGTAATGGCTATAACTATCCCAATTCATTAATTTTCTACTCCGCTTATCCTCACGAGGGTCCCGGACGTGCTGGAGCCCATCCCAGCTGTAGTCGGGCAGGAGGCGGGGTACACCCTGAACTGGTTGTCAGCCAATCACTGGGCACACAAAGACAAACACCATTCATGCACACACTCACGCCGATGGATAATTTAGAGCAGGGGTGCCCAACCAGTCGATCGTGATCGACTGGTAGTCCACGAACTGGTCCCAAGTCTATCGCAGGAATCAAGGGGGAAATGAAAAAATGAATTGAAATGAAATGGAAAAAAAATGTATGTCTGTGTGCATGTTATTAATATTCTATATTTTTGTGTTAGTGCACACTGCACCCCAAGCATACTCTCAGTCTCACTTTCACAAAAAAGTATTGGAAAAAGAAAATAATATAACAAAGCAGGTCACCTTTAACCCATGGCGGCGCGTGACCTGCTTCACCGGAAGTTTTTAGCTGTCAGCAGTCTGGAGTTGCAGTTTGCGATCACAGCTGTTGCCAAATATCTTTTTTTTACATTCAAAGTTTGTTTCATGTACAATTCACCGATGGTACTGGCAAAATGGGAATTTGGAGCGCCAAGAGAAGCATTTTAAAACGGTACGCGTGAGCTACGATAGTGACGTTACACTGAAGACACTGCCAAAGTGCGTACCATGTCGCCGCGTCAGGTCTCGACCAAGGTAGGCACCGATTCCTTTGTACAAACACACACGCTATTGTATCCACTTTTTTGAGTTTCGGTCATGTTCGGGTCGTTATGGCGGTTGCTCATCATTGGCATGCGTCTATGTATGCGTGCACTAGCGGGTCGATCGCGGGAGGTCGGTTGCTTGAACATTCGATGTTCGGTCGAAGAAGGTTGGGCACCCCTGATTTAGAGTGTTGCAACCTGCAATGCATGTTTTTGGAATGTTCGAGGAAACCGTAGTAAACCCACGTAGGCAGGGGGAGAACATGCAAACCCCACACAGGAAGGAGCCGGAATCGAACCTTGCACCTCTGCACTGTGAGGCGGACGTTATAACCGGTCGATCGCCGTACCGCCCTGTAATTAACAAGATTATTATTTTTAAGACAAGAGAATAAATTCATGCGTCATAAAACAATCCCCATCAAGTGCCGCCCTGGTTAACTATAATACACAGAAGAAAGTTTTTGTTGAATTTACTATTTTTATTTCGTGACATGGTGGCACGAAATATAATCGTCTGGGTCCAGATACACGAAGTATACTAATCACCACCTTAAAAATGGATCCAGAAGCAGATGATTTTATTTTGTGCAAACACTGGACGATATATAAAGATTTTTTTTTCAGTGTACCGCTAACAGCAATAATAATGTTAACTCAAATCCTTCAAATTGTCATGATTATTTTGTGGTTATTTAGGGTTATGGATAAAATAAACGGAATGTGTGTAATAAGTATTTCAAATTATGTTTTTTTTTCATAATTAAAATGTATGTTTCGCTTATAGGATTCAGGGAAAAAACTTGTTTTCATTAAAATGAAATGAAATGTGTTTATATGTTTTGCTCTTTTGGAAACAAAAATCAGATTGTTGAAACGCATTTAATTGCATACCAATTGCAACGCAATAAATTAGAATGCCATGGGAAACCTATTAACATTGAAAATCAAAAAGTAAACTCATACGGGGTCACTACACAAAACGATTGCATGGTTTTATTTGATTAGTTTTAATATACCGTCTAAAGCTTATAATTAATAAAATAAAAAAAAAACAAGAACTAACTCAAAACATAATTGTGAGCGTCAGTTCTTAGTTTTGACGTTTTGAACAAAACTACTGAAATTAATTAACACCTCCATGATATTCATTTCTGAAGATTCACCTGGACTGTGTTTTCCTCACACCAATTCAAATGTATGCTGGTCTTCAAAAACGTTCTCATCCACAGTGAAAACTATGCAGTGAGCATTCATCCAATTTAGGTCTAAATTTTGACTTTAAAGATAGAGCAAAATTATCGTGCAAATGAAAATATAAGAAAAAAATGAAAGACAACCAAGTGAATTCCTCGTGTCCAATTCAATTTCAAGTTTATTGCAGATAAACGACCCTCCAATTAAATGCTTGGAATTTGGCAAAGTAGAACACGCAGTGGACATTCACATAAAAATCAGAACATTTAATAGGTTAAAAAAAAAATAGAAAGAGGCTTATCAAGTACGAAGGCAAAACGTGATTAATATAGAAGTGAGCATATGTTCGTTCGGAGATGGACGATGAATGACGTTGGGATCGATGGAAACGAGGATGCGCACCGAGAATACTCTACTTCATCAGATTAAGTCTCTAGCGCCCTCTCGTGGTGCAAAAGGAAGCAAACTTAAAGGCTGAAATCAAGACCAATCAAACTCGTGCAATATTGATCTCTAGCAGCAGCAGGCTCTTGAAAAGTACTTATTAAGTTAACTAGTGTACATAACCTCTGAAATCCAGAAGCAAGTAGTTCTTGATAAAGGTTGGCAAGTGGAGCCTTGGGACCACTTTGTTGAGTCTTCCCTCCAGATAGACCCTCAGTTTGCATCGTGACAAGTGCTGCAGGGAGCGAGGAGTCCGTGCTAGGGAGAAGACAGACTCGTAGAACTCCTGGTGCGCCTGGTTGAGAAGAATTTAAAAAAAAAAAAAAAAAGAGCTCATGTCTCTCTTTTTTTTTTTTGTTGCTGTAAACAAATCTTATGTTATATTTTAAAAGCAAGCGAGCAAAGTTAGAGACTTGAAGGCAAAACATTTCAGATGAAAATGGCAGGCACACCACTACCCATAACTGGCCCTAATTTGACCATTCGTCATCTCTTTCGATAAAAGTCTGCAAAAGGTCAATATGGAGATGTCTCTAAAAAATGATCCTGTGCTGTGGTCTGTGTTAAGAGTGACTTGTCCTCTCCGATTTACTCGTAAAATGGCTTTGCCTGGCGATCGTAAATGTCAAACCTGTTTTTATAATGCTTCTAAGAGTGGTCAACACTGTGGTCAGATGAGTCCTGGATTTGGGGATTGAAAATGACAAATGCAACTTGTGTTGAGTGTTTGTATATAATTTGTCTCACAAGTGATATGGCACAACAAAAGTGACCAGGAAGCGACTGCAACCATAATTTACTTATGAGACCATCCAACAAGCTCGCCCAGCTTCATCTGTTTCTCCTCTTCATCTTCCTATGACTACTACTACTACTACCAGTGGTGGGCACGTCAATCCATCAGTCATGATGCCGTTATTATTTCAAGCTGACTCAGTCCCTCCGAGTCGTCGGCATGTTTTGTGTTATTTCAAGTACTGTACTCTGAACGATTTTCTGAAAAAAATTTGAATTGCGATTTTTCTGACAGATATTGCAATTTCGATTCCATTCAGGATTTTTTTCCAACTCAAGCTTCAGTGCAATATTCACTATGTACACTAACATTTACAAACATGACAGAAAGTGGCACCATGGCATCAAAATCATAAAAGCTACTCTAAATGCAAGGACACAAAAGATTATGTGTGGAATCTCACGCGTAAAAAAATGATTAAGAAGTAAAAATCGGTACTGTGTGCAACTCCACTAAGTACAATGCATTGTAAAAAGCGATGGTTTCCATTCACGGGTACACTTGCCTCAAAGACCTCTGGCGGTACAGACTCAACCCAGGTGTCGGTGACTTTGAGTTGACTGTAGGAGTTGAGCAGCACTTCGATGGTGCGCGGCGATTGAGAGCAGTGCCTCAGAACCTGAAAATCAACATCACAACGCGGAGAAACGCGACAGGATTCAAAACTATTGCCATTATCTGGAGTTTGTGAGCCAGCGCCATAGATTCAAAAGAACTAAAGTAATTAAACACTTGTGAAATGAACAGATTGGGGCTCCCTCCGGGGGTCTAACTGGAAATTATGCAATTAGTGCTAATTAATCTCCTATTAACACTCGCCTAATTAGGAAGCAGGCGTTGTTTTTTTTTTTTTTTTAGTCTGGTGCACGTGGGTGCACTCTGTAGTTGTGAGTCTGCTTCCTGCTGCATCGAGAGCAACGCTGCATGTTGTGTCGGGGAAGGATTGGGAAGTTGAGAGGTCTTGAAAATGACACTATGTCAAGGTGGTAAAAGTGCACCACTCACTAATGATGCAAAATTAGACACCTTGATCCCAAACTGGCTAATTATTGACTCTAGCTCCTGTCAAAGCTAGAACAGGAATATCCTAACAACAACCCCTATTTGGATCTGTGCCAAATTGGGTTAGCTTAAAAAAATACCAATTTCCTTTATTAATAAAGTCATTCATTTTTTTTGCTGAGATGTTAGGTCTTATGTAGAAAATGGTACCGTATTTTTCACACTAAAAGGCGCACCTAAAAGCCTTCCATTTTCTTAAAAGCTCACAGCGCGCCTTAAATCCGATGCGCCTTGTGTATAATTATTACGATAATATGTTGACCCCAAAATGGCTCCTTGCTCGAGACATGCTTACAATGCTGAGTTCAAACTTAAGGCGATCGGGTTACGCAGTTGAACACGGAAATAGAGCAGCGGCAAGAGAGTTCAACGTTAACGAGTCAATGTTGTAACTTGCTGTTGGTTAAGTGAACCGTGTTGCTGCTTTATTAATTTAGTTTTACTGACATCTGATCGTTCTGTTGGTATTTCCTTGAGCGTAGCTCCATCTAGTGGATGCATTGTAGATTGCGTCTTATAATTCGGTGCGTCCAATAAATGAAAAAATTACAAAACAGGCCATTCATTGAAGCTGCGGCTCATAATCCAGTGCGCCTTTTAGTGTGGAAAATACGGTAATAAATACATACATGCATAAATTTTAAAAAAAAAATGGGGAAAGCAATTGGTTTTCCTTGGCTAATTTCCCACAAATCCACAAAGAAATTAAAGTCTGTGTCAGTACCAGGCTTGGACACAAGACACAGTTGCAGGGTTGAGAGCAAAGGGGAGATTTACTTGAGGTTCAGCGACTGCTGAAACATGGCTAGGGCTGGTCAGGCCTGTGGCGAGACGCTGGACTGCACGCACAAAGACGAAACACACTGGCAGGGGACAAACGGAGACAAGGACTATTTAACCCTTTCGGGGACAGCGGTTACTGTAGTGGACAGCCTATCATGTGATCAGGTTACAGGTTATCATTATTGGTGCATGAAAGGGTTCAACACAAGTTAAGGATCATCAGGGGGGAACAATCAGGGCGGGGCCAACAATCAGACTGGCACAAGAGGAAGGGCAAGTGACCTAGACAGTCTGAACTTTTTGTGTAAATAGGCAAACAAAATCTATCCAGCCGTGCAGTTTATAACATGACATTGTTGTCTACCATGGCCAATCGAAGGGCACACACAGACGAACAACTATTCGCACTCACAGTCACACCGAAAGACAATTTGGAGTGTTTCATTAACCTGCTTATGCATGTTTTTGGAATGTGGGAGGAAACCAAAGTACCCAGGGAAAACCCACGCAGGCATGGGGAGAACAGGGAAACTCAACACAGGAAGGTCTGAAGGAATCGAACTGGGCACCTCTACACTGTGAGGCTGACGTGCTAACCAGCCATTCACCGTGCCGCCCTGACACAGTGCATTGTGATGAAAAAAAAAAAGATGTGTAGTATTGTGCTGTATTGTGTAAAAAAGGAACAAATTTTGATTCTTTTGGAAGATTAATCACTGGACCACTCAGACTGGCCGCCGCCAAGTTTCCCATCCATGAATTAGCGAAGATTAGTTATAGCAACTCACATGGACAATTTGATAACATCGTCACCATCATAGGAAAGGACTTCTGTTGTAAAACTGAAGAACCCCCAGTTCTGACAAGTGGGACGGTTAATATCGCATATTTTGGAAGCATTTATAACAGAAACGCAACAAAATGTGTACAAAAGCTTGGAAAGCTGCTTTCCTACCTTGGGAAGTGCTCCGGGCCACACACGGATGGAGCCGTGATTGAGCAGGGCACGGACAACCCTCTCAGGACTATGGGCAAGCTTGTAGCAAACCACCTTGAGGATGTTGTGCATCGGGGCTTCACCGCCATAGTCCATTTCATTCACGCTGGCCCCGTTGGCCAACAGCAGCTCAACCAAGTCTGCATTGACATTCTTACACGCCATGTGCAATGGCGTATGTTTGTCCTGGTCTGTAGTGTGGATGTCAGCCCCGGCCTTGATCAGAATTTGGCACAAGTTGAAGTAGCGCTGGAGGTCCTGCAGCTCCTGCGGCTGCGAGCAGGCAGCGTTCAGGGGCGTGAGGCCTTCGTCGTTCTTTTTGTCCACAGCGGCTCCGTAGCGCAAGTAGAGCTGGACGTGGTCTCTGAGACCGTTCCTGGCTGCCACGTGCAAGGGAGTGTCGTCTTCATCCACAGTACGGCCGTTGATTGCAGCGCCATACTGAAGGAGGTACTTGGCACATCTACAGATGGAGGTTGGGAAGAGCAGAAGTCAATTTGCGATCGGGATGATTTTTTCTGGTTTTACGTGACACAATACTCACTCGAAGGACTCAGGGCTGGAGCACAAGTGCAAAGGCATACGGCCGTCCTCTGAGACAGCATTGGCGTTGGCACCGTGGACTAGCAGCAGTCTGGTACACTCTGGCTCACAGTGGACGCAGGACTCGTGCAAGGCGGTGATGCCACCTGGCGCCAGGTCCACACTGGCTCCTCGTTGCAGCAGGTGTTTCAGGCATTCGCTGAAGCCTCGACCAGCCGTGATGTGAAGCGGCGTCGTGAGCTCCTGCTCGTATGTCAGCGACCAAAGCCCTGCCGAGACGAAAGAACGACAAAAAGCACAAGTTCGTCCCTCCATTGGCAGTACGTGTAACTGTTTGAAAAACCTACTCAAGCTTCTGTAGTTAAATCTGAAGTTGGTCCACTCGTCTATGTTGCTGGTGTCATAAGTGGCGTCAATCAGGTAGACGTATTCATCATCGTCCATTATGCTGACCAGCGTCAGCTCGTCGCCCACAAGCAGGGAGTTCCAAAACCGCAGGACGCAACCTGTGGCCTTGGCTACGGCGATCACGTCGCTGCGAAACGTCTTTGGCTTGTGCCACTTCACCTTTGGCGCCACGTAAGCCATCGCTTCTGCTGAACTACTTCTGGACTAGTACTTTTTCCATGAAGATAAACGCGGTTACGTGTGTTGTTTGAGCAGACGAGGCTATTTCTGGAGGTCATGTGATATGACCCAGTAAACTATGCCGGCGCAGATTCGACCCACTCTTGGGTGTAGCGTGTAAGCAGCAACCAGTCACAGGATAGAACGACTCTAAAATGACAATTTTTGACCCTGAATCTATAAGGTGGGGGAAGGCATTTAGGAGTCAGTCAGTCAACAAGTAATGGCTGTAACATTGGTTTGTGTTTGGCTCAAAGCTGCAGTACATGGGCACAGATGCTGTGGATTTTATCGCAGCCATTTCTCATCAATGTGTTCCACATGCAATGTCACCTCGTGATAGGTTTCTAAAAATAATCCGTTTCTGTGTTTGATCGGCACATCCTGTTGACTTGCAGAGGCGTCATGCAGCTCGTGATTTGCATACTATCACAATCTATTGTACAGAACAAGTTAATGCCATGCCCCCATTGAACGTGGATCTCCCGAAAACACAATCCTCATAAATTAGGCTACCAGCTACCACGTGCCGAATTGCGAAATTAAATCCTAATGATGACAGATGTCGTCTCTTACCCTCCCCCCGGGCGACCCAGCGCATCTCCCCACCCTGCGGCTCGATGATGAGGCTGGCGGTGGATCCTCGAGGAAAGAGGCGCTGCATAGCCTCCAAGTTGCCTGTGTACAGAACGTTTTGGATCACCACATCTCGGCACACGGCCGGCCTCAGCGTAACGCTGGACCGAAAAGGCGTCCTGTCCCAGGCCTCTTTCTTCAGAGCAAAGCTCAGCAGATGATGGGAGGCCAAGCGCTGCTCGTGCTTGTGTCTCTCCAGCATGTCCTCGTCCAGTTGGAGCGAGCGTAAAGCATCAGATGTGAAGACGAAGCTGCCTCACGACATTCTCAACAGCTTTGTCTCTCAGAAGAGTAAATGTGGATGAGCACAATATATAAGGTGGAGTCAAAAAGATATAGAAAAATCTCTGAGGGCTGGACAATGCCAACCGCGTGCCTCGCAGCTGCTCAGTGCTGGTTGTTTTGATATTTGGTATGATGCCCTCCCTGGAGACTGACACGTTACACTATTTTTGTCTCACGTGGAGTCACTGGCCACAAGACACAGCTATCACGCTTTGCTGTCTGGCTGCCATCCTGACTACCAATAATAAAAAAATAACAGCAATGTGGTACTCATTTTTTTTTTCTTCGAAATGGTTATGAAAATAAAATAACAGCGGTGTGATACAGTTATACAAGTAAACAACATGACAGTTGTTAAAGCCATAATGAAGGATATCAAGTTTAAAGTTTTCTTGACAATAATATGTTCTATGTGCCCACACTAGTGTAAACATGGCATTCTGATTGAAATTGTGTTTGTGGAATATGAATTAAGCATAAAAATCCACTCCTTTTTATCCATTCCAGGGGCGGCCATTTTGCCACTTGCTGTTGACTGACAATGACTTCACAGTTGCTCAGAGCTCAGGTAATGACCAATCATGGCTCACCTTTTTCTGGGCTTGGTCATGTGATGTTTACATTCTGAGGCTTTTTGGCCAGGGGTGGGCAACGGCGGTCCTCAACGTATTTGGAACTGAAGAGTCGCCGCTTGGAATTAAAACGGGGAGAAGTGAACCAATTTTTTAATTTTTTCCTCAATGGATGCTACAGCTTCTTGTTTACTTTCAAACTTAGGTTGTAGCAGACATGTGGGACGTTATGCAAGTTTTGAGCATGACATCTCTTATCCACTGGTGAAAGGAGACTTTGATTCTCTCCTCTGTCAATGTTTCCTTCCTCCAACACACCTGATTCAATTGATCAGGATTGTTTAACGTCTTCTAATGAGCTGATCATTTGATTCAGGTCTGTTGGAAGGTTGAAACATCCAAAACATGCAGGATGGCGGCCCTCGAGAACCGGGGTTGCCCATCGCTGCCCTCGGCACTGTGACGTCATTTTCAAGTCGACAGGAACTGGCAAAATGGGCGCCCTCTGAGATGCATAAAACTATTTGCTTTTGCTGCTTAATTCACATTTCACAAATGCAATAGTACCGTATTGGCCCAAATATAAGACGGCCCTGATTATAAGACGACCCCCTCTTTTTCAAAACTCAAGTTTGAAAAAAGACTTTTTGAACACCAAATTAATTTTTATACAGAAAATAATTACAGTACATCTGAAACAAATCATTATAACAATATATTTGAGAGCAAAAGAATGTTATTTTGCCTCATTCAAATCTTAATATCTGAACATTTAAATATGTAAACTAAAGTGCAATCACATTCGTAAATGAATGGCTTCTGGTTTTTGAAATGTAAATTACATCATAACTTCTCCTCAGCTGCCGGTTAACCTGGCCGATCTTCGACCCACTTTTCTCCAGATTGTCGCTACGTTTCTCCATTTTCTGTTATCTCTTTTATTATTTTCTTCTCTTTTTTTTCTTACCGCTATTTTTTATTTTTCTTCTTCGTGCTACCGCTATTTTTATTTTTATTCTTCGTGACAGGGGTTCACTTTGGCCTGGGGAGTCAAGTTCAGTATTCGCCTCAATGATATCTGGCGCCATCTTGCGTCGTGAATGGGTATAATGTCTAGACCCCGAATATAAGACGACCCCCACTTATATTCCATCTTATATTCTGGCCAATACGGTAGTTAGAATGCCGAATTTTGAATTGTGGGGACACAAAGAACACATGACTGTAGAGAAATATGTTTGACTTTTTGACTGGCAACAACACGAGATTTAGGTCGCTTCCTTTTTGGCTATCGCCCCAAAGCTCAAGTGAATTGTCTTGACCACACGTGCGATCATAAATCTTGAGCAGATGGTGGGCTGGACTGTTTTCTGAGAAGGTCATTAAGGAAAAACACCCTTAAAAGACCCCACATCACGAGATCACAGCTCAGGACATTCTTTTAGAGACCTCTGCAAATCGGGCCTTTCTTGACTTTCATCATTAGAAACTGAAAATGCTCCAATTTGACATGATTATCATTGGTGCGCACTCTGCTTTAGACAAAGACAAAGACGCTCCTTTAACAGCGTGCCTGTTTATGTGCTGTTTGTAAAATATCATTCAGTTGCTCTGTATTTTTCCTGCTCGTTCGCGAGTCTTAATGGCTTTTATGTATCCACACGACTCCCTGCATCGGCGCATTAGGCTGAATGACTAGCCACCGCTGTGCATCTGTCCCACGTGAAATGTTCTGATGGAGGAGGGACGGCGCATAATTAAGCCTTTTAGAGCCTACTCACCAGGCGCCCGTGCTAATATCTCTTTTTGAATGATGGACCAGCGTTTCCACATCCTAGTGGTGATATCCTTGCCAGTAGCCACGTGGCCCAAATGTATTCATTCCACCCCAAAAAATTATACAAATGATATTATTGATTTCACCACATCTGTTTTGAGCCCCCCTCAAACACCTTAAAGCAAGGGTCCCCAACACCCGGGCCGCGGACCGGTACGGGTCTGTGAGTCATTTGGTACCGGGCTGCACAGAAAGAATGAAGGACTTACATTACTTCAGTTTTATTTATTTCGGAATCTGAAAGATATTTTATTTTGAAAAGTTAGATAATCTAACAGTGTGTTACTCTTGACACAGGTCAGGGAGCGCTTCTCGGTCACGTGATCAGTTACCGCTAAAATGAAACCCAGGCGCTAGCAAAATGAGTTAAAAAAAACCCAAACGTCTTTGGAAAGGGAAAAAAAGCCTAGCCAGGAGACAGAAGAGGAGCCTACGATGTTCAAGAAAAAGAAGGCTACATTTAATAGACAGTATCAGGAGTCCTACTTCAAATATGAATTGATCTCAACGGGAGATTCCCACGTAGCGAGCTCACTCTGCAAAATATGCGGCGATGGTGAGTCGTAATTTTCATGCACTTTGAATTTGCAGTGTATCTTATTTTGAAAGCTTGTTAAAATGTGACCATAGCGACCAGGGAGTGTTGCGACCAGATAGGACGTTCCTTGTGTCATGATTCGTGTTTATGATTATGTTTAGAAAATACCACAGTTTTCATGCGGGTCATATCATATTATTTTGTTGTATTTATCTGTCACGCCTTAAAGGCCGGTCCCTGAAAATATTGTCTGACATGAAACTGGTCCATGGAGCAAAAAAGATTGGGGACCGCTGCCTTTAAGTCGACAACACATGTAGTGAAGTATATCTGGCATGAGCTTGTAACCTCTACTCTTAAACATTCTAAAGCTTATAAAATTGGTTTCAAGCTGCATTTTCTATCGACGCCTTCAGTGTTAAACTGTATAAATGCGATAATCGTTTACTGACTATTTTTTATTAATGCTCAGAAAGGAAATTCTTGTCAAAAAGAATATGTGATGACAGTCCTGCACAACCTGGCAGCAGTCGTTGCAAGACCTCAATTCAGCACGCGTCAGATTTGAGGTTAATAAGAAATGTGGGTTCTGTTCAGAAATGCTTTGCAGTTACTGGTTTAATATGGTAGATTGTAAATGCCTCCCCTGTTTTTGCTCCCGAAGACAGAACACTCAGACGACAGGGAGTATCGATCAGCTGTATGGGGCTGTGCTTGTGTCGTGCATTTGAGTCCATCTGTTTGTGGTGTTTGAGAAGGAACAATGAGTGAGGAGGTAAACTGCTGCATTAGCAACTTGCGCTAGCCTAAGGCAAGTCAGCTGCGATTTGCTTGTCATTATTTATAAACTTAATTTAATGCCAAAACGTAACATTTGCAAAATCCAGTGCCAAAATGTATAAATATCTTTCGGGTGTTTTTTAAATAAAAAAAATATTAATAAAGGGTTTTGCATCCCTCCTCGGTCACTATCGAGACTGTGGGAATTATTTCAGTATGATAAATCACCACGAGATGGCAGGAGTGGCTTTGATCAGATCTTGGTCGCACACAGTGTGAGTGGGTGTGGGGTGAGGTACGGCGATGGTACGGCGATCCTACGTTGCGAGGTGACGTGCGGAAGCAGTGTGTGTTGAGAACACGGAAGCAGTGTGGTGTTGAGAACATGGATGAATACTGGGAGCCAAAAAAATCAAAAAAATATGACCCATTGTCAGCCTTGGAGAATGCGCACACATGCATGCAGGCACTAAAACACACGCACACAGGTTGCTAGGTTCTATGCTCAATTTTCTGTAAACCTTCAAAAATTAGTCAAAATGGTCAAAAGTGCCTGGCACTGGCTCTCCCAATTCGAGAAAAATGGCTGCCATTGAATAGGTTATCCTCGGTTTACAACAGAGGTCTGTTTCTATGGCATTGAGTGGTGACGCAATTTATTTTGAACCAAGTCAAAACCTGTGCTAATGCTGTAGTAAAGTCAACATTGCAGTAAATATTTGCATGAATAACACTTGCAGGCCATCCATCTATCAATCCCCTTTTTTTTCCT